AAGAAGGCCGACAGAGGGAAAAAGCCTTCCCCTGGAGTTGATGCTCTGAATTTGGATTTTTTTTAACTGTGAGGAAATAAACTTCTCTTCGTTAAAACCATCCACTTGTGGTATTTCTGTTATAGCAGCACTAGATGACTAAGACAAGCAATATATCATATATGGCTTGTTTCCTAGTGCTGTTTTGCAGACCAAGAAGCATTGTGGCAAATGGAATTCAAATTCCCACTTTGCCTCACACTGACCGTGTGACTGACAGTGTAAAATCTAACTTGGAGCTTCAGTTACGAAACCTCCTAGAAAAGAGGATCTTTGATAAGGCTGTAAAGTTGAAATTAATGTACTGAAGTTTTTTTGGCTGGTTGGTTGAGTTTTTTGATAACCACTCCGACCTGCTGTTTGCATTCAGTTTTCAACCTTCATTAATTCTGTGACTTTGGGAAAATAAGTTAACTTTTTTTATACCTCACTTTCTCATCTATAAAATGGGCATGATATTAATAGCGTCTCCTCCACAGGTTTTTTTTGCAAGAATTAAATGAGAGGATGTTAGTAGCAGCTAACTAATCTATTGGCTGTCGAGTCGATACTGACTCACAGTAACCCTATAGGACAGGGTAGAACTGCCCCATAGGGTTTCCAAGGAGCAGCTGGTGGATTTGAACTGTCAACCTTTTGGTTAGCAGCCAAGTTCTTAACCACTGTGCCACCAGGACTCCTAGCTAACTAACAAGCTCTAATAAATATTGGTTCAATAAATATTATAATGGAGAAGGAATCTTTTACATGCATACCTCACTGAGATATGTTATTTAACTATGTGCCCAAACCACAAAACCTCACCACTAAAAATCAGAATAATAAGTGCATATTTTATAAATTTGTACTTTTGCAATTATTTCATTTATTTTTCAAAATTCAGTATATAATGAGGAAAATAGCCAGTTAATTTGAGCTCTGCACCTAACAAAAGCTTTATCTTTGAAACTAGAACAGACTGCTGGGCATTGAGAGACAAGGTTTCTCTTTTTCATTCCCAGAAATACTCTTTCATCATATATATTTTTTTCTCTTTATGTGAGCCAACTTTCAAAATATTTGGAAGCAGAAGAGAATTCATTCTCAGGTTTTTCTCATCATTGCTTTGCTGATGACCTTCTTAAAGTCAATTGAATTCCTTCATACTCCCCCAGAAACTGTAGATGATAAATGGGACTATTCAACAAATAAATGATCTACTGAGTGCTTAAAATTCTGCAAAAATATAAAATACCAAAATGTTTGAAAATAATTAATTGGCATTTGTGTGTAAAAAAGAATTAATCACATATTTAATTGATAAAACAAGATACATTGCACATGTGATGAAAGCTACTTTGTGGTACCCAAGTAACATATTCAATGTTGAAACATTGGAGAACTTATTATGAATGCTCCCTAATGGTATAATTCCTGCCCCTTGCCAGCCTGCCTCTCCCCTAAGATAAGTAGAGGCCGTTGAAGCTATTTTTAGTTTGAAATTAGTTTTAAATAGGGAAAACATTAGTCTTGTGATTACCCTCCTCAGAGTTCCAAGCCTGAACTTCCATGGAGGTCATGTTGTTCCTTTGAGTGATCTGTAACTGAAGTTTCAAAGACTGCCCAGCTAATGACTCCAGGAATGAAACTATGTGTTTATTTAAATATCTCACCAAGGCGGGCAAAATATGAGAATGATATGTCCTCTAACTTTTGCAAAGGAATCCTTGGCAGTAAATCCCGTTGACTCTTTGGAATTGGATAGCTCTGCTCAGTATGTTGGGCAGATTTCCAATGGATCAGGTCATTGGCCACATAGCCTTTGGTGGTGAGATTTCCATGGGGCAAGCATCTCTGGAGAGATGTCTACAACTGATGTTATCTTATAGGATACCATTGGAAGGTAGAGTGGATTAGATCCTGTAATCAGCTACCATCCTCACTCAATGGCTCTTCTCAAAATGACTTTCCCCTTTGGCTCTGGGAAACATCTGCATGTTTCCTTGGACTGTTTTATGTTACTGAGTCATTCTCTACCTTTGATTACCTTTCTGCTTAGTTTCAAGTTGAGAAGTGAAACTTTCCAAAATGCTACAAGGTCATATTTTTCATTAATTCATTTATTCATTCATCAATGTATTTTACTGAGTGCCTAGTAAGTATCAGGCGCTACATTACACCCTCATTAGATTTACAGAGATAAAAAACAGAGTCTCTGTGGAAAGACAGTTTGGTAGTTCCTCAAAAAGTTAAACATAGAATTACCATTTGCCTTTGTTAGGTGCCATCAAGTTGGTTCCAACTCATAGCCGCCTTATGTACAACAGAAGGAAACACTCTCCAGTCCGGTGCCATCCTCACAATCATTGCTACGCTTGAGCCCATCGTTGCAGCAAATGAAGGTTCCGAAAGCTTCATCCACATCATCAAGATCAACTCTGCTTTGAAGAGGCAGCTCTCCCCAGTTGTATTTTGAGTGCCTTCCAACCTGAGAGGCTCATCTTCCAGCACTATGTCAGACAATGTTCCACGGCTATTCATAAAGTTTTAATAGGCCAATTTTTTCAGAAGTAGACTATCAGGTCCTTCTTCCTAGTCTGTCTTGGTCTGGAAATCTCCACTGAAAGCTGTCCACCATGGGTGACCCTGCTGGTATTTCAATACCAGTGGCATAGCTTCCAGCATCACAGCAACATACAAGCCACCACAGTATGATAAACTGATAGATGAGTGGTGAATTACCATATGACCCAGAAATTCTGTTCCTAGGTATATACCCAAAAGAATTGAAAGCAGGCCCTCAAATTTATATACCAATGTTCATTGCAACATCATTCACGATAGCCAAAAGGTGGAAACAACCCAACTGCCCATCAACAGATGAATGGATAAACAAAATGTGACCTATATATATACATATTATACACATACACACACAATGTGATACATGCTATGATACAGATGAACCTTGAAAACATTATACTGAAGGAACTCAGACACAAAAGGACACATACTGTATGATCCCACTTATATGAAATATCTAGAATAAGCAAATGCATAGAGACATAGGTTTGCTAGTAGTTACCAGGGGCTGAGAGGAAGGAGTAAGGAAGAGTTATTGTTTAATGGGTACATGTGTTCTGTGTGGGGTGATGAAAAAGTTTTGGAAATATAAAATGTGGTAATGGTTGTACAACATTGTGAATATAATTAATATCTCTGAACAGTATACTTAAAAATGGTTAAAATGGCAAATTTTATGTTATATATATATTTACCACTATAAAACAACAACAAAACAGAGTCTTGACCCTCAAGGAGTATACATTCTAGTTGGGAAGCAAAACAACAAACCATCAATCAAAGATTCAGCTATTTCCTCTTCGTTTTTGAAGAAGCTAACATATTTTGATAAAATTTTGCTCAAGATGCACCTTCAGTTTGATTTGTACTTCAATTTACCCTCTGGAAACAAATTGTGCTTCATCAGTTTTTCAGTGAATATAATTTTAAAGCATTTCATGAAATGCAATAAAATATGATATATGAGTAAACTTTTGAGAAATATATAAATGTCTTGAATGAGGTTTCAGATCCCAGAACCACTCAATTTTTCATTTCTGGAAATGTCTTTAAGATGGATTTAAAGAAAATGTTTGGAGGTAGGCCAAATAAAGAACTAGACAGCCAAATCAAATCAGTTAAATAATGAATGGAAAGAGTTATCCAGGTAATTCAGACCCCTCTCCCCCTGGAACCAGTGTTCAAGTCCATAAATGAAAAAGGGATGGACCAGCTGATTAATAAAAACCAGCATCCATACTGCCTCAAGTCTCTGGTTAATTCTTTGTAATCATCTTTATTTACCTCATATTTCATAGCCAGCACATTACCTTATGTATAACAGATATTCAATAATTATTTGTTGGCTAGAGTAGACTAGAATTTAGTCAAGCACTCAAGTGTCTATCTCTGTGGCTGCTAAGCACTGGCTTCAATATACATTCATGCTTTTGACTTCTACCCTCAAAAATACAGAAGGCCTTCTGCTGCCTTTCTCTTTCTTTCTGCCCACCCACCCTCTCCCATTTTTAAAGTTACTTGTATGCGCTCTATGTGGGAATTTTGTTTTTTCTCTGGGAATTTTCCTCAGGGCTATGTTCATTTCTAACCTTACTTTGAATCCTGTGTAAAAAACATATACTAAAATAGAAATATATTGATGTTCTTGTTTTTTTAAAGAAAATCTCTTCCCATATGTAATTCCTGCTTTTTACAAGTCACCTCCCCCCACCTTGCTCAGCTTGAAATGGAATTTAGTATAATAAACATTTCCTTAATAAACATACTGGAACAGCAGAATTGGGGTGATGGATGATCTTACATTTAAACTTTCACTGACAAAACTAACCAACTCTTTTTCAATTTAATGCGACTGAATCTTTTTGGCTGGGAGCCTTTCTGCATTAAGCTGAACTGATATTCTTCATATTTTAAAGGAGACACATGGATTTCCGAACTTAATCTGTAAATCCCTAACAGCTAGGTCTCTGTTATAATTCACTAATTCCCTTCTGCTTGTTTTAGTGAAAGGAAAAGCTTAAAGAGGAGGAATGAAATTATTGTTTTTAAATCAATATAAACTTTGCAATGTACGTGGAGCCTTTTTGTTCAAGGAGATCAGAACACATTTCATTATGGTTTATTCTTTCTTACATTTTCATGTATCCATTTTCTCATTGTTTCAATAGTCAAAGCTCCATGTTGCTGCATTGTTTTCCTTTGGTCAATCATTTGTTTGACATACATGCACGAAGAGTTTCCCACGTGGAAGGCATTTTACTGGGTATCTGTTGTATCGGCTATCACCGTTACCTTCAACATGTGTAAAATCCAAGAAGGGAACTAAGATCGCAAACGTCAGGCAGGTTAGACTGAGAGTGGGAAAGCAGATGAGAATGGGTTATTGCTGGTTGGCCACCATGGAGGAGGTGTCATTCATCTTAAACCTTGAGGAACAGGTAAAATTTCGATAAGCCAAATCGGAATAAAAGAGGAAGAATGTGTCCCGGACAGAGCTGGAGAAAAATGTAGAACAAAAATCTAATTCACAAAAAAAGACCGGACTTACTGGCCTGACAGAGACTGGAGAAACCCCGAGAGTATGGCCCTCGGACACCCTTTTAGCCCAGTAATGAAATCACTTCCAAAGTTCACCCTTCAGCCAAAGATTAGACAGGCCCATAAAACAAAATGAGACTAATGGGGCACAACAGGCCAGGGACAAGGACTAGAAGGCAGGTGGGATGGGAAAACTGGTAATGGGGAACCCAGGGTCTAGAAGGGAGAGTGTTGACATGTCGTTGGGTTGTTAACCAATGTCATAAAACAATATGTGTACAAACTGTTTAATGAGAAACTATTTGTTCTGTAAACTTTCATCTAAAGTACAATTAAAAAAATTTAAAGAAACAAAAAAGAAAAGCTATGTGGTACCCTCTTTGAAAAAAAAAAGAAGAAAAATGGATGATATGTTAGTAAAGGCACAGGACTGAAAAGTAGCTGATCTGGGCCCTTACCTCTGTTAGAAAATTCACTTCATGAGTTCCAGGACCTGGGGAACTTCATTTACAAAATTACAAGCTGGAATAGATGATTTCCAACTTTGCTTCCAGCTCTACTATTCTATGACTATCTTAGTTTCCTAGTGCTGCTGTAATGCAAACACCACAAGTGTGTGGCTTTAAAGAACAGAAATTTATTTTCTCCCAATTCTAGATACTAAAAGTCCAAATCAGGGTCTTGGCGGTTGTGATGGTTAAGATTGTGTGTAAGCCTGGCTGGGCCATGATTCTCAGTGTTTTGGTAGTCGTGATGGGAACGGATTTGGGTTTTTTTTTTTTTTTTTTTTTGTGATGTTGTGGTCACTTCCCTGTTGAGATTTGATATGTGATCACCTCCATAATGGGATCTGCTGTGAGTAGTGAACTGATTGAAGGGGTTTCCTTGGGCGTGTGGCCTACATCCAGCATGGGTGGACATTCTGGCAGGGGCTCAGGGGGCTTTTGCTCACTCTGAATCCTGCAGTTGACTCCTGTTTGTCTGACTTCCAGTTCTTGGGGCTTGAACTAGCAGCTTACCTGTGGTCTTGCCTGCCAATCTTGGGATTCGTCAGTCTTCACAGCCTGTGAGCAACAGACCTGCCCTCCGACCTGCCGATCTTGGGCTCACTAGCCCCTGCGGCTACATGAATCAGGAGAAGCCTCTATCCTGACCCATGGACTTGGGACGTTACAGGCTCTACAACAGTGTGAGCCATTTTCTTCATATAAATCTCTCTCTATCTATATATATTTATACACTTTACTGGTTTTGCTTCTCTAGAGAACCCTGCCTAAGACAGCCATTTTGATTCCTTCCTTGTCAATAGCCCCCGGTGTTCCTTGGCTCCTTGGTTCCTATCTTGATTCCTTGGCACAGGAGCTTTTGTGTCTATCAGCTCTTTTAATAACTCAGAAGTGATTAGTGTTATGACCTCATTAACATAACAATGAAATCCCTATTTTCAAACAGGATTACATTCACAGGTATAGGGATTAGGAGTCCAACACACATTTTGGATAGGACACAATTCAATTCATAACAATGACTATATGGTATTCCAGGCAAAGGGGGTGGCATGAGGAGAGGCATGGAATTAATATGAATGGTCGTGGAATTATCACTGATTGAGATGAACTGGTGTGTAGGATCCATGTTGAAAGAAATAGTAGTATTAGACTTTGGTCTTGAAGGTGAAACTAAGGAGAAAATATTCATAATCATAACCAGATCTAATATTAAAACAGTATTGGGTATTAGCTTGGAACAGCAAAACTTTTGAGCCTGCTCCACCCATCATCTGACATTCAGAAAACAGTACTAAATGGATAGATGTTTGCATGAGGTTTTGCTGCTCTTCCCTTTGCACTTTCAGTTGCTCCATTTAACTGCTTCAGAAAAGTTTTGGTTATTCCTGCTCTTCTTAGAGAGAAATGAGACCCAATGATGGGTAAAATGTAGGTACTTGGCCTTTTGAAGACACAGTGTTACCAATCAGTGGTATGAGGAACCTGAGCTTCTTCCCTTTGTTATACAGGTTGCTGGTCTTTGTCGGCAGTGATGGTTTGGGGAATTTACCAAAGAAAATATATTATTTCAGCTTTTAAAAACTGGTTATCTTTCTCTGAGCCAGTATTTGTCAAGTCATTGACCAGCTCCTATGGAGATGCCAGAGGTCATGTGGCCAAAAACAAAACAAAACAAAACAAAAATACCCCAAGTGAAAAAAAAAAAGAAGATAAAAATTCATCCGGCCAGACAGAGCTTCGTCTTGCTCTGCATACCTTGGTATCCAAAAGCATCATAGCTAATATATAAGGCAGCAAGGAGCTGGTGGCTGTAACAATTTATCTGATAGACAAAGAGGAGTAATTTTTTTTTTTTCAAGTAGGAAGTGATTTAATTTGAACCTCTCATTAGGAAGATGGATTTGGCAACAGAATGCAGCATAGATGAGGGAAATTGGAGGGAGGTTCTTCAGGCAGAGAAACTTGCATAGTAAGAAGCTTGAACTAGATAATGATGTTACCAGGTGGAAACCCCAGGTTCTTGCTCGGCATGACTCGTATTGGCCGGTAAACGAGAGACCTAGACCGATGTGGGAGAACAGAAAAGGCACCTTTCTTTCATTGTACAAGAAAAAGGAGTCAGTGGGAGCTGCCGCTGCCAAGATTATTCCCTAAGGTCAAGCAGGCAAGTTACTTTTAAGGGATTCACAAGTAGGGAGTTCATACAAGTTACGTCAGCAACATTCTTAATCATACTACACAAGCACAATGGGGTTTACATATAACCTCCAAGCAAAAGCAGGATTCAAATGCAAAGCTTGGGGGTGGGTGGGGAGGGGAAGCCCAGCAAATGAAACAAGATTTTTAATACAACACAGTGGGAGCTCTGTCTCAATGATAGTAGGACTGGAATGGAAGAGATTCAAGAAATGTTGACGAGGAAGAATAGAATGATCTAAAACAGCACTTAACAGCAGTTTTTTCAGAAGCAGATTGGCAGGACTTTCTTCTGCAGTGCCTCTAAAACCAAAACCAAATCCATTGCCATCGAGTCAATTCCAACTCATAGAGACCCTATAGGACAGAGTTTGAACTGCCCCACAGAGTTTCCAAGGAGTAGCTGGTGGATTCAAACTGCTGACCTTTTGGTTCACAGAAAGATCAACAGCCGTAGTTCTTGATTCATAGATACCTTATGGGACAGAGTAAAACTGCCCCATAGGGTTTCCAAGGAGCGACTGGTGGATTTTAACTGCCAACCTTTCGGTTAGCTGCTAAGCTCTTAACCACTGTGCCACCAGGGCTCCACTACAGTGCCTCTGGATGAATTCAAACTTTCAGCCATCCTGTTAGCAGCTGAGTGCATTAACCATTTACACCACTGTCTTAGTCATTTGGTGCTGCTATAACAGAAATACCGCAAGTGGACGGCTTTAACAAAGAGAAGTTTATTTCCTCACAGAAGGTAGGCTAAAAGTCCAAATTCAGAGCATCAGCTCCAGGGGAAGCCTTTCTCTGTCGGCCTTCTCATCAATCTTCTCCTGGACTAGGAGCTTCTCCGCACAGGGACCCCAGGTCCAAAGGACGCACTCTGCTCCTGGCACTGCTTTCTTGGTGGTATGAGGTTCCCCATTCTGCTTGCTTCCTTTTCCTTTTATCTCTTGTAAGATAAAAGGTGGTGCAGGCCACACCCTAGGGAAACTCCCTTTACATTGGATCAGAGATATGACCTTAGTAAGGGTGTTACAATCCCATTGTAATCCTCTTTAACATAAAATTACAATCACAAAATGGAGGACAACCACACAATACTGGGAATCATGGCCTAATCAAGTTGACACGTATTTTTTGGGGGGGACGTAATTCAATCCATAACAACCACCCAGGGACCCTTAGCACTTAACATATTACTTGCTTCTGCTATGTGCCAGACACTGTGCTAAGTGCTTTAAAAACGTTCTCATTTAGTTTTCACAAAGACCTCATAAGGTAAATTTTAGGGCTTATGCTGTGATGAGATATTTTATTATTATTGATGATACGGCCAAGGGACCCATTAATACTTTAGCCTAGAAACCTCTGTTTCCAATGAGGCTCTCAACAGGTAGATACATAAGAGACATAGAGAATAGAAGATGTGGTACTTTTTGTATCAACTGAGTCTCTGCCCAAAACCACAATTCAGGGCTCTAGTAAAAAGGTTGGAGCGCATGAGCCTTTCCATTCTCCCTGCTGGAGAAGGCCATGAGTCAGCTGACCATTCGGCTGTACAGAGGGGAACGTGCTAGATATAGCTATATCCTTGTACACAACCTTCTCATGGACAGTGACCTGGTCTCTACCCAATCGGAGTAGTTGGGAGGTGTAAAGAGGAAAGATGGGGGAAGGGATGCAGAAATTAAATATATCCTTTGCCTTAGGGGCCTCCAGAGAGTTCTATTGTCCCTATTTTATAAATGAGGAAATTGAGGCTCAGAGAGGTTAAATGACTTTACAGAGTGGCAGAATTCAGATTCAAAAGCAAGTTGGCCTGATTCCTAAGCCTCTTAACAAATGAATTAATCCATCACTTAGGGAAGCTTTCAGTACTAACATTTTATGTTTCTGCAAGTATTTTATTAGAAAGCAGGACTCTAACCAATGTTTGTTTGTTTTAATTGTGGTAAATATATTTGTACCACCAATGTATTTTGACTTCTAAAGCCGTGTGATTCTTATTAAACTCCGCTTCTTTCTTTGTTATTGCTCATTTCATTTCTACAAAGCAAATTAGCTATATTCCACTGACATACGAGAACACACAGGCAGAGAAGTGTTAAAAGAAATAACATTGTAAATTGCACACAGTTATTAGGAACTAAAGCTATTACTTGCCACTCTTCTTGGTCCACTTTTGATTTTAACTCTTTTAT